GGGAGATGGCTGGATGGCTGGGGGATGGGGATGGGGAACCGGGGGAACCGGGCAAACCGGGAAAGTAAGTTTCGAAATTGGGCCGCTGCTGTCGTCCTGACAGTCTGACAGCCGGGAAAGCTGCGTGCCAGTCTCCTAAACACGACAGGGAAACAGTCGGAAAAGCGACGGTCGGACGGGCGGACGGGCGGACAGGCGAACGACAAAAACAAAGCAGCATTAAAAACTCATCATCCGGCCACGCTGCAGCGAAATGAAGAAAAATGCCAAGGGAAAATGGGTGGAAAAATCTACTGGTGCTGCCGCTGCTGCTGCCGGCAACAGCAGGTTGACTGACATTTGGAATGCAGCGCGAATCTAGCTTATGGTTCGGCTTCCTGGTGCCTCCCACCCGCCGCCCGCCGCCCGCCACTTGCCTCGGGTCCCATTGAAGTGGCAAGACTCAAAGCCAACTGTTGTTGGCAGTTGTTGACGTGGGGACAATGAACCGTCCGTCTGATCTTGGCCAGGCCAAGAAAACTCCCACGAATCGGGCGTACATATATGTGATCACACAACAAGTGAAGGTAAACATTATTTACACCTTCCTTCCGCTGTTTAAACCCTAAATATACAACATCCTTTCTGTATGGGATTATTGGGATGGTGGTATGCAGGTGGCTTTCCCCGAAACAAATCAAACAGTTCGGGCACGCCATAGCATCATAATTCGCGAGGGATTATATGCAGCTGGCATGCCAGGCAGTGATTACATAGCGCCTCCTGCCGCCTCTTTCATTTTGTTGTCGAAAACCCTTTGAGTAAATATATATGTACGATGTGTAGGTATGGCAGGGGGGGGGTGGGAGGGCGATGGTGTGCTGTGGTGGCGACTCTCTTCAGTTTCCATTCGAGTGCATACAGACAAAATTAATTGCTTTGCACTCGAGAGCACAACTTTCGCCGCTCCATGCTCCGTGCTCCGTGCTCCATGCTCCATACCCGTCTGTGTGTTGACATTAATCAATGACAATTTGGCATGGCCAGGCGCGTCTTCGAGTAGGCAGCAGATTGTGTGGCATGCAAGCAGGGACGACAGAGAGAGAGAGAGAGTACGACAAGCCACTCGAAAGTGTCAATATCAAATGAATTGCAATTAAGCACAATTCATCAAGTGATGTGTGGGCGGGAGTGGGCGTGTGTGTGTGTGGAAAAAGAGTTTGTCAGTGGCACAATCCCCGCTGTCCGCACGTTTCCTCTGCCCTCGGCCCTCGGCCCTCGGCCCTCGCCCCCGGCATCCCCCTCCTCATCCATGGTAATGCCAATTAATGATTACTGACAGACACAGAGACAGAGCTGCTGCAATCGCATTCTCAAGCCACTTACTCGTTCGTAAGCCCTCCACTCGGGGCGTTGACAATTAAAACGTTTCGCAGCCAAACGCCTCCTCTCTCATTACACGAAAAGTCCTTTGCCGGACAGCGGACGTCATGCGGTTGTCCACATGCCCCGCGCCCCGTGCCCCGTGCCCCGTGCCTCGCTTGCCTGCCGGAAACGGAAATGATAAGCGAGTGTCAACTTGCCAACTGTTTTTATGCTACTCTTTGCTACCCTCCCGCGCTCTATCATTCCTTCTCTCCGGGGGCGTGCGTTGTGGCATTATGTTTGTAAAATTTAATTAGAAAAGTTGAAGTTCTCAAGAGCCCGGTCAGGTGTCCACCTCAAGCTCCTCCCGCCGCCCGAAGATGCCTCATTAACTCTTTCAGGTGGAGCAGCAGCAGCAGCAGCACAGGAGGGCACAAGAGTCGAAGCCACTTTTGATAAGTGCGTGTTGCGAAAAAGTTACTCGAATTTCCCATCGCCACCAAAAACGTGACAAAAACTTGTCAATGCATGCAAAGTGGAGCGGGGCTGGTGGGGCCTCTCGGACTGCGGAACTGCACAACTGCGGGACTGCGGGGGACTGGGGGCCAACGAAGCGTGTCGAGTATGCAAAATAGGATGGGTTGCAAGGACAGCGACAAATGTCCGACATTAGCCGGAGAGCGGACCAAAAAACCTGCCAAGTGCCTAGCGATTTTCAGACAGTACTCACAACGACCCTGAGATATCTCGTAAACAAGTCGTGGGTTCGACTTTACTAAGCTGAATTTATTCCTCTTTATTGGGAGCCGAAGGGCCCCCTCGCTGAAAGTTCTCACTTTCGGCTCTGTTCGTCTTTCTGCAGTGTGTGATTCCTTTCTCCCTACAATTTCTATTAAGTACACACTGCCAATGATCGCTTAGATCCTCCAGGGATACGCGCTCTACATAAGCCCATTATACCCTTAAATTCTAGCGGGAAAAGGGGTATAAAACAAAAAATGCAAAACGCAGGGCAGGGCGAGAACTTTGGGCAGGACAAAGTAGAGGAACAAGTTCGCTGGCGGTAACCTCGTTTATTATGTCATCGTCATCGTCGCACAGCGAACGGGAAAACCATTTTGCGCACCCCAGCGGGTGGTGGAAGGGCCACACAGGTGATTGGGTGGCGCGGAGTGGGGAGTGGTGAGTGGGGAGTGGGTAGAGCCCTCTGCGTCCTCTTTGAGTACGTGTCCCGGTACGGAGGAGGCATAAAACTATGCGCACGACCAAACCGCGTGGGTGAAAAGTTTTTCAAGGAAAATGTAGTCGAAAGAGACCTGCTGGAATGCGCTGCCAGTGGAGATCGGGTGGTGTGGCGGAGCTGCAACTGTAAACTTATGCAACTGGCCGCCAACTGAGCTTGTTTAGATTTATAAGCTGGGCGCTGTCCTTGCGCTGGGCGGTGGGCAGTTGGGCGGTGGGCAGTTGGGCGGTGGACGGTGGGAGGTGGGTGAAAGGAATTCAAGTCAAAAGTTGTCCTTATCAACGGGGAGCAGCCATAGAAGTTGGGGGACTTCGAAGGGAAATAAACAGGAATGTAAAATACAATGCAACCCATCAGGGTTGCCATCCATAGAAAATAAATAAAAAGATAGCGCCAGTCGATTGGATCAGGCAGACCCAAAAGAATGAGAAGCGAATGAGGGAAACTACTCTGAAGGTTTATCGACGAGGAGGTTAACCAATTAGGGTCCTCCGACTAGTGACTCTTTGATTCGTGATTCGGCGGCTGCCACGCGGCAGATGACCTGCGATTCGGGATATACAGGGCGGGCCGCCATTCAGGCCGGCTTTTCCGGAGCCGTGGCATCGATCTGCGGCATACCCATGAAGGTTGAAAAAAGGTGAAAGGTTCGGTATGAAGGATGGCATTGTTCTACACTTCGATATCTCGGGGATGGCCTCGATCTTCTCCACCGTTGTCTCGCAACCCGGTGGTGATGGGGGGGCGTGGGCGTGGACCTCCTGCTTCGGTGTGTCTCCTTGTTCTCTATGAACAGCTGCGGCTTGGGTTTGGTTATGTACAGTAATTTCCAGCGAGAGATCATTGACACAAAAGGGTCTCAGTGTCCTCCCTGCCTCCCCCTGCCATCAGTCCCTGGCCCACTGAAAACATCAACCGCAACTGCTCACATTATAAATTGATTACCACTCGCAACGTGACTAATGAACATTAGTTTGTCCAACTCGTTGCCGCTGCCGGGGACGCAGTTGTGTGCCACCAAAGTTGGGGGCCAAATGCCAGCACGTGTCCCGTGCATAGTTTTCAGAGAGGAAGTGGCGCTGGCGATGGAGGTGGAGGTGGCGGTGGAGGTGGAGGGAGGATGATGACAGCTAGGCGTATGAGCAACAATGCCCACACAGCAAGTCGGCAAGTCGGAGAGTCAGCGAGTGTCAGTCTCGCGAGAAGTGAAGTTCCCTTGTTCGAGGAGTCTCCGCATCTGACATCGTTTTGCGTGGAGTGTCGTGTCACGTACACGAGGTAAATGTTCCACGTATGGAGGGAGATGGATGGCTTGGTGGGTGGGTGAAGGACCACGACAACATATGGAGGACACACCACTACACATGCGTCTCTCCGTCCCCCCTCTGCCTTCGCCTAGTCCTAGTGCTCCACTCCACCCTTTAATCGTGATTGCAATCATTGTGGAAATTGAATTTGTAAGTAGGCAATTTTAGGCGGGCGAGGGGAAACGCGGCAAAAATAAGAATAATGCGACGCAGTGAAACCAAATTAGTGGAATGCCGGGATATAGAGCGACAGCTAAGCGAGGTTTCTTTATAGAGATGGCAATCAGTAGCGATAGCGATAGCGATATCTGGAGGATATATCGTACAATTTAACAAGGAGGGGTGCTCCTTTAGGCTTGGGTCCCCGCACACCCCCTTGGACTCGCTCCCACCTCTAGCCATTCGTGCGTACCATCCAGCAACAGCCAGTGCGTACACTTGCAACACAACGCAACGCAACGCAACGGCACAGCACAGCACAGCACAGCACACAAACTCGCACTTAGACACCCGCTCTCGCTATTTGCATAAATGCTCTCAGCCAAGTTTATGACTGACTTGCGATTGCATCCGCAATGAGGCCTTGCCTCAGCTGGCGGATATACGAAAGATATGGGGGATCGGCAGCCGGTGGTTGGGGCTGTTTTCTGTGTCGGTTGGCAGGTTATTAGGCGCTAGGCTTGCACATTTTGTTTGCCATTAAAATAATTTGCATAGTTTGTATTTATGCAGGCGGTTTGGCACAGGCACGGCTACGGCTACGGCTACGGCTACGACTCGGTTATACGGCGCCCACATCGTTTTGCATTATTAAATAATACGCACACGCACCGTTGACCCGTTTTCGGTGGGAGCTCCCGCCGTGAAAGCTCCGTGTGGGAGGGGGGGGGGGGGGGGGGGGGGAGGGGTGGTGAGGTTGTGCAATCAATGTGGAATTGAATGCTTTATAGAGGTGCATTCAGCGTATATTTGAGGTTGCTTTGGCCGAGATTGTTTTGCAAATAAATACGTGGCTGAAGTCAGTCAGGGGCCGTGGCAGGGGCCGCGAATGGCACTGAATGTTTGACTTACGAGAGCGCTCTCGCTGGGCGAGCCACGAGGTTAAACTAACATTTAGAAGGTGTTCGTTCAGGGAGGAAACATTAGACAGCTGCATTTTCGTTGCACATTCAGTATTCATTCGGCATTCAGTCACCCCGTGGGACATCATCGTAGTACCCAAAGTACAAGCGAAACTGTTCGAACAGAACAAACGTACAGATCGTGTTCGGCACTATCCGCATCAGGTTGGGCACAACTCCGCGGAAGAGTCCACGTGGTCCGAAGCGCAGCATGTAGTTCAATAGCTTCTCCGTCTTCTCCCCGTCCGGGGCTCTGGTGGTCATGCTGAGCGTTTTCATGATCTCGATGGGCTGGCACAGGGGACCGCAGAGGAGGGCCGCCGTCAGGGAGCTGATCACGTGCAGGATCTTGCTGTCGTCCTTGAGCTCCAAGTAGCTCATGTAGTTCATCTTGGCCTGGCGGTGGGGGCGGGGAGGATCAGAGGACGAACATGAGGGCTAAAGAATGCTTGCATCACCTGATCGTAGACCGCATTCTGGCCAATGGTGAGGAGGGCCGCCCGGGCGCATGAGAAGGTTCCGCCCTTGTAGAGTGACGTCCAACCCTCGTCGCGAATCACGCTGTACAGGCCATGGAAGACATGCCGGTAGTTGCGTCTCTTCTCCTCGGCAAGGACCCGGTCCACGTGCATCCTGGTGTTCACCAGCTCCATCGGTATGCCCACACATCCCGCCGTAATCCCAGCCACGCAGGCCACGCCCACCTTGTGCAGGAAGTTGTACTCGTCCACGTACCTCTTCCCGGTCTCGTACAGATGAAAGCGAAGGGCCATGTAGGTCATCTGGCGCATCAGCTGGGCACTGAGTCCATCGTACAGGGACAAGAAACCTATGTGCGAGAGGGTTTCGGCTGCAATCGCCAAAGAATGCGAGTATCTGTACGGCTTACCGTCTTTTTCGATAGCCAAACGGCCGAGCTCCACAATACTCTTACGCTTCTTGATGATCATCATGCGCGTCTCCAGAAGGTCGAGGGGGGACGTTATTAACTGCGTGGTGGCGCCCGCCAAGCCGCCGGCCCACCACCGCGGATATAACCTGCAATCACACACAGAACAGCAAGATCAGTAATAGCGATCGAGGGAGGGGAGGGGGACCGCCGCATGCCACACCTTCGGTCCTCCTTCAGGACTTCGCAGTACTTGTATAGGCACGCCAGCTTGAAGTCGTATCTAATTCTGAGTGGTCTGAGTGCACAAGCCTTCACTGACAGCAAAATGAAAGCCATCTATTAGCCATGCTTCGGCTTTCACTCCCAATTTGATATTTTTTTGATATCGATAGTAGAAAAGTCAACAAATCTAGACTCGATTGTACACAGTCTGGGCCCATCCCTTGGAATTAATTTTTGGAATCGCAATGCCTTGACCGAAACTGGAGCTGAGAGTCTTCTTTACCCTCTCTGTTGCTCTGTTGCTCTGTCGCTCGGTCCCTGTCAGAAGTGGCTTCCGTCGTGTGTCATTTCTGCTTCCGGCCATTAACATGAGCCCTCCACTGCGTTGTCTAATTGCTGCTGGTCCAAGTTTGAACTAATTGAGCCCTCCCCTACCCCCTCGTGGTCCTGCCCGACCGACTGCAGGTGGCCAACTTTCCAGTGGCCCCACCACCCACAATCCAAAGAAGTTATTGCCACGCCACGCAGGTGTTGCAAGGCTTTTCAGTAATTTGGCATAGTTCGGTGGCCACCCGTCCCTCTTCCATCCCCGGCGAAGTTTCGAGTGTGCTCTGCTCTGCTCTGCTCTGCTCTGCTCTGCTGTTCTGTTCTGTTCACACAGTTGTCGGTGCATTATCATCGCCCATTAGGCATCACCAATGCGAGAATGTGCAGTCCCAAATTGGTTGCAAGTTCGGTCAGATTACGGGGCAACTGAAAGTTATTTTCAAGGGATGGGAGGAAAGTTGGCTGCTTGTGGACGAAGATACATTTGTAGGGTATGTACATATGAACACTGGTGGGTTGTTAATTAAAAGAAGTACTTGTGGGAGATAGCTTGGGGGGAACCTCTAACTCGCACAATACTTCCAGCAATGCAGAGATAAGCCCCGGAAATAATCTTAAATCCATTACCTAATATTCTATTATCGATTATGCACTAGAGCCGTTAACAAGGGCATATGTAAATAGAGTGTAAAACGAGCGGGAACGTTGTGAGCCGCTGCCCGATACTCTGTCTCTTTTGCTTCATGCTCTCGCTCAGCTCCTTCAGAGCGTGCACACTGCACGAGGAAGAGTGTGTGTGCGAGAGAGAGGGAGAGACGTTGAGTAAGCGCGTGGAAGGGGCTTTGTTACTTCTGGCTTACAATAAAGATCCGATCTAATCCATGGCTACCCTTCTCGTCATCTTCCTTCTTGTGAGAGTCGGCTTGCACTCTCTTGAAAGCCATAAACGTCTCCTAGGCGGGCTTGAATCCTCGGCCCTCATTAGCCCTATCAGTATTGCTGTCCCATCCCGCCGGCGAGGCATTGCTTTACTGTCCGTCTCCCGACCAAGAATCTTTCCGTAGCCTTTGCCGCGATTACAATAAATGTTTCCATCTTTGCTCCTTTGATACTTGTGCTTCCAAAATCAGATCTTCATTAATGAATTATTTAAGTGAACTTTCTTTTGTCTCTATGATTTTTGGTGAACTCTAAACTCGAAGCAATAAACAATATGTATTACCCCTAAACTCTTCGAGTATTGGTTATAAACAGTTTAATGGGATTTCAATTGAGTGAACCGAAGGTGAACTAATACCGTGCCAAGGCCCGCACCCAAATGAACTAGTTCCGTCGGATTTATGACATTTCCAGGCAGCGCCTTTCCTCATTAAGTGGTTTTTTGTTGTTTTTGGTTATTTTTCAAAGAGCCCGCACTGGCATCAATCAAGCGCTCAATCAATCAATTCCGCATTTATTTGATTGCCAGCAATTTCAATGCAAGTATTGTAAAAACAGCAGCAGCGAAAATATTTACTATAGACTACACACATAAATATCTAGCCGTATATTTTTTATTGGTGGCGCACTAAAAAATGAATGCCAGGAGGCCATAACTGTACCAGCACTCCTTGCATCCTCCTTCTCCTCCTCCTCCTCCTCCTCCTCCTGGCTCTATCTGTCGCTTTTACAGTTAGTCATAGTCATAACTGCATTCGATTGGGTGGAGCAGGGGACCAGAGGAGCGGTGGAGGAGCGTGTTGAAATGCGTAAGCTCTAAAGCTCCCCTGCCCCTCCCCCTCCCCCACGAATTGGATGCGAAATTACTCTTTTTCGATTTGTTATTTTATTTCTCTGCGGAGTTGCTCTCTTTTTACTCTTCTCAATTGCTTCTTTTACAGCTAGCTTTTCAATTTGCCCTTAATGTAAGATAATATATCACGTTTCGGTATGCCCGCTCCTCCATCGGCCAAGCTCCTGCCGGAGTGTCCTGGGTACTGGCCAAACGGGACAGCAGCACCTGCATTGCCAACCATCGCTTTTCAATGCCATTTTGTCGCACAATATTTACTGTTATCTCGTTTGCCTTCATTCATTTTGATACCTGCAACCCCGTTTAGACAGTACTCCCGCTATCTGGCCATCCCTTTCTGGCACTCGGCGAATTTACTTTTGCAAATTTAATGCTTACTCTCTCTCTCTCTCTCTCTCCCTCTCTCTTGGAAAGTTTTCGAAATAACACGTCAATTTGATATGCCTCTACATCGATGGCATGGCCTTTGTTTGTCCTGCTGTTGTATCCCCATGCTGCTCTCTCTCTCTGTCTCTCTCTCTCTCCCTTGTATGCCCTGCAATTTTTTCGGCAGCACATATTATTCCTTTCCCCGGCAATGTTTGCCCCTCGCTGGAGTCTGTGGCAATGTGTGGTCGTGTCTGTTTGCCAGTATCTTAGGTTATTAGAAAAGTTTGCGGCCTGACTTGGTGGGTGGGGGGTAGGGGGGATGGGCCACAAAAAGTTGGCACTCGAAGAAAATTGCATATTGGAGTTGTTTAGGCCATTTCGGACACCCGATGAAAGCGCTCTCTCAGGGAGATCTCCACGCCATCTGATCTGCAAGCGGGAATGCTCTATTGTCTGGTCTTAAGGGTTTTTGGTACTCATTACTACCAATTAATCCCTCATATAACCCGTCGAATTATAGCAGAAAATCACAGCTGGCAAAAGGGCTGATTAGAAATCTATATTTCCTATAGTTTTCTGGCCCGCACGACCCTCTAAATTCTTCTTGAAAACATTCTTCATTGGAAGCCATCGATAATCTGACGACTGCCAAAAGTAAGCCTTAAACATTAGATAAATGTATGAATAATTTGTACATACATATGTATCCACTTACGGAAATTCTTTCCATATTTCTGCAGCGCCTTCCGGTTGCAGCGCATGCAACAGTCAGTCAGGGCAGCACTCGTATATCCCCAGATATTGCCACCGCAACTCCCCCATCGCCGGCCCAACCCATCGCCAGCCCGCGTCTGCTGGCAAACTTTCGACAAGTACAACAAACAAGAGCCTTGCAACGGCTGTGCTGTCGATGCCTCCAGCCACATGTACTGCAGCTGCAAGCCGACAAGCTTGGCAACTCAACCAAGCAGCGACCAGGACAAGCTGTGGAGCGGCAGTAGGACAAGAAGATTCTATCAAGTTTTTCCCAGCACACTTTTCTTTTTTCTTCCCTTTTTGCGGCCTGTCGGGGTGACTCCTCTATTCTGCCCTGCCCTGCCCTGCCCTCCATCCTCCTTTAGAGGCAATTTTCGTGTTGAACTTTTTTTTGAGAAATGTTTTTGGGCAAAATATCAACACTGGAACAACTGCAGACAGGGGGGTGTGGGACGGGCCGACAGGGATCAGGTGGCCAAGTGTAAATGACCCAACAGACGAGGGCTGGGGGGTCGAGGGGTCGAGGGGTGTGAAGTCGAACGGGTGTCGGAGGTATCCGATGGTGCAACAATCAAATGGTCAAAGCTGTGGCAAAAGTCACTCAAAGGCCAGGCCCAGTCACGAATCGGCCAGAGGTGCTACGAAAATTCCATTTTATGATAATGCAACTTGGCCGCTAGCCAAACAAACCAAAAAAAAAAAGAAAAAACCCAGGAAAAGATTGATAGTGCCCGGAAACCAAGTTGGCCCTCGCCCTGGCTCGGGTCGAGTCATGTCGGTCCTGTGCGCTGGCCAGGATACGGCATCTGGGCAACATGTGCCGTAATAATAATAACAATACAAACACCCAATCCAAGCAGCTGCGCATTCGGGGAATGCTGCAGTTTTTCGGCCAAGAGAAATTGCCCGAAAGCAGAGTAGCGACACTCAGCCACCCTTTAAAATAACGAGATACTTTTCGAAGGGCAACGGAATAAACGGCATTAGAAATTGGAAAGCATAAGCCTGCAATACGCTCACTTTCTTAGGTTTTTCCCCATCGATCTGGGCTGTAGAAATCGATCAGGGTATATGTTTAAAGAAAGTTTAAAATTCAGTGCACGAGCCGCCAGATTTGAAGCTATTCCAGAAATGCCCAGCTGCAGCCATCTACGGCAACGTGGCGTATGCGCAATTATCAGGCAACCGCATCGGGCACCGGAGAGAGACCGGGAGAGACCTGCAGCCAAGGAAGGACTTGACTTAAGTTCTGCTGGGTTATTTAAAGTTCGCGTTATTAATAAATGCCTCGATGTAGGGAAGGAGTCTCTGCCTCTGTTTAACGCCTCTGCCTCTGCCACTGCCTCTGCCACTGCCACTGCAACTGCCTTTGCCCCCGGGCCTGGTCTGGTCTGGTCTTCTGTTCTGTTCTGTTCTGTGTGCTAGCCTGGTCTGGTATGCAACGCTTGATTAGTGCAGCGCCTAACTTATGGCCAGGCAGGGCCCTCCTTGCTTTGGTTGGGATTTCGGGCCGGGGGTTGGGGGCGGTGGGTCGGTGGGTCGGTGGGTCGGTCGACTTCCTGCAAATTACTGAGAGTTTTGCTGGGCGCAAAGTTTGGCGCGTTATCGTCGAAAGTTTAATGGAACTATGTCGTGTCGTGCATCGAAAAGCCAGGCCCCAATGGGGAGTCCAAGTCAGACAGCAGACCCACCCCACAGGGGGCAATGTCTCTGAAATGGGGTTACGGGGAAAGCGAGGAAAGGGTTTTGGTTCGACATCCGTGTTGAGCCTAGCAGGGGCTGACTTAGGGATTGGCTAATTGTTGGGGACTCCGTACGACTACTCCCCTCCGTACCCCCCGTCCCGCCCGCACTCCCGACACACACACACACACACACAATTCAGGGATTCTTGAACTGAAAAGCGAATGAGAGAAAACGGGAAATTAAAACAAAATGAAATAATTATTCGGGCAGAGAGGAAAGAAACTGGAAATTACGGTGATAGAATCAGTATGCTAATCAAAAAGTCTGGTCAGTAGGTTGGCAATTTTTAAATGAATATAAGCAGAAGAGCAGAGCAGAGAAGGCTAAATTCCATAAAACAAAGGAATGTATCAAGATGTTATTAATTATATTAAGATTCCCATGACAGTTCGATTAGCTTCAGGGCAGGGCAAGCCGTGGCTAATGGACTGCCATGTTCCTACAGCAGCTGCACAAACAACAATCCATGCAAACGGACATACGAGTATCCAACGTTAATGACAATTATGCAGACACTGGCTCTGTTCTGTTGTTGACTGCCATCCACCATCGATGGAGGCCCATCGCATCGAATGGCATCGCATCGCTTCGCATCCCATCGAATATTAACGCAATTTGAACCACAATCGATGATGGACTTGTTTGTGGCCTGTGGTTAGCCCCAGGGCGTGGACCTAGAGGGCCACGATTGTCATCGATTGAACTCTGACGGAGACTCCCCCTGTCGGCCTCCCTCGCCCCAGTCGTCTGTTTGTAATTATCAAAGGAATATCTGAAATGATTTCCTGTTGCTGGCTGCAATTAATGGGCCTTAAATTTGTTCGAGGCCCCTGGCTCGAGGGTAGAAGAGGGTAGAAGCTTGCTCAAAAAGCATTTAAAATGTTACACAATATTTGCCTTTATATGCCTTCTTTGCATTAATTGCGAGCAAGTACGAGAGTTTGCTACCCGTTCCCTGTTTGCAGGCATTTAGCAACAAAGTTTCTCCGTTCGCTCCCTGATGTGCAGCTTAATTACTCTGGGATTTTCACATTTGTTTTCCTTTGCCGAGTTGTGTGTAAATAGGAAAAACTGCAACAATTAATGCTGCGTCGCGTTTTTCTCTTAATTGTATTTGTCTACATGCACTTACAATATGTACTCAGTGTGAATACCCCCATTTGCGGTGGGGGCTCGGCTCTGCTTGGGGGACTTGGGGCAAACACTTGTTGAATCGAATGATATGGCTGTGCATTTCAGAGGTATGCGAACTTTTAATTGAAGAAAACAAACAGCACGTGTTAATAGTGGCCGCCAAGTTTCAGGGCCCCTCAATGAAATGATTAGCACCTTGTTGAAATAAATTGATTGGATTCAAATTCCGAACTAATATGATGCGAATGAAAAACAATAGCCTTTTATTGACTCAAACGTTCACCGCTCTGGGATCTCATTAAATCGAACATTTCTGTGGAACTCCTTAATCGCTGCTCGTCTTTAATCGCTGCTTCGTACACACAAGGAAGTATGTAATTTAATTCCAGGAAGGAGAAATCCTTAAAAAACAGGAACTTCCGTGTGTTTCACCTGCTACCTACACTATCGCTGCATATCGCATTGCCAGTTAATTTGATTGACATTTATCCGTTCTTTTTTTTTTGTCGTTTTTGCTCGGTATGTTCGTCCCACGAAAAGGGGACCCGGATAGGGGGCGTGGGCCTTCGTGGGCGTCCGTATCAATGGCCCGTTCCCGTGTGTCTTTAGCCGTGTCTGGGGCCCCGGTCTGCTGCCCGACTGGGTCTACACTCCACAGTCTCTACACTTGACACAGTGTTTGCACTTTGCGCTGATTTAATCTTTTCGTTGCCGTTGGCTGAGTGTCTGGTAAGGGGAGATGGTCTCTGTTCTGTTCTGTTCCTGGGTCTGGGTCTGGGTCTGGGTCTGCGACTGGGACTTGGTCTGGATCCCGATTGCGCTGCCTGGTGTCTCCTGCCCCCTGGTTTCCCCTGGTGCCACAGTTGGCGCGTGATAAAGAGCAAGAAACGCGATGGGACAACGAACAAAAAAATAAAAAAAAAACTAAAAGGGAAGAAAGAAATCCGGCTGTTTGCCTTTGGTTTTTAGGTGTCGCCTCCTCATCGACGGCATCTTCATGGCGGAGGACTCCGATTCCGTTTGAAGAGTGCAAGCAAAGAGGGAATAAAGAAAAACGCTGGAATTATTGAACATCTGATGCAGTTATGATAATGTCAAGGCATTTCCACTCAAGTGGCAGTTTGGCTAGATGCCGATTATGACAGGCAAATGGAAGAGTTATTGGAAATTAATGCAAGCCACCCCGAAGACCACCCCCTCCCCGGACAGAGGACATCGATTTGGGTCAATAATGGTTCAATGAATAGAGCAACTTGCAGTCCTAAATACTTATAAAAGCTCCTCTTTTTGTGGGTTCATTTCGATTAAGTTTCAAACTATTTATGACATTGATGCATATTAAAACCGTCGGCAAGGGTATTAGAGCCACAAAGCACCAAAATTTATGGATAATTTCCAGCTTTGTTATATCCACAGACCAAACCACCGCGCCCCCATATTTATATATGTACATACATATATAGGAGTGTTATATATATATATAGATGCTTTTTGCAGGAGCCCACAAACTTGTGTGGTCCAAACAATATTTATAATAATTTACAAAATTTATGTAAAAACTTTTTTGTTGTTGTGTGGCACACAGACGCAGTTAATTTGGCCAAGTTTTTGCGGCCTGTTTGGCGGTCAATTGTGTAATTTGTTTGCTCTATATATATGTACATACAATATATACGTATCGTACAAATGTAAGTACATATATACTTGAGGAAAAGTGGGTGCTTCGGATTTCATTTACATGTCCAAATAGGCCTTTCTGCAGACCAGTAGCTACGGACTATACCATTTTGTAACGCGAAACGTACCCAAACTTGGCTCGTTTTATTGGAAACAGGGGCTTACTATTATAAAAATGACAATGTTTAACAAATGCACAGCAAACGCTCGAATTTGGATCCGAAAATGATACAGATATGATACTTGTGTCGTTCAGTTTGTGGCAGGGAAAGTATCAGTCATAGTAGCTCTCGGTTGAGAGCCTTTTGCGATACTTATTTTGCGTTCCTGAGGGGGGGCATGTCTCCAGTAACAGTTCTATACCTACAGATAGAAGTCGTCTCTTGGTTGGGGGAGGTACCGTCTTTTACCGTCTGCTTCTGCTATACAATATGGTCCATGGTGGATTAAATCTGATGTCCTCTGGATATTACATAAAAATTATTGGATAAATAAAATTCTCGTAACATCCTCTTCACTTAAACTGTAACCTCATATAATCTGTAATTGTTGGTTAGTTAGCATACTTCTCTCAGGGCTCCACTGAAAAGTGATGTCTGGGCGAGGAGCACCATTCCTGCCGACCTGACAATAGCTGCACTTTGCTGTGGCGTTATTTTTTCTCTTCCTTCGTGTAGGCGTGGCAGTGGCCATAACGGGCCTAAGCTATAATTTAAGCCCGCAACGTGTTATCAGACTTAATATGTAATACATTCTCTGGTGGTCAGTGGGGGAGGAGGGGGGCGCAAGGGTGTCGAGTGCTCCTCCGCAAAGTTGGTCAAAACAATGGAAGCCAAGCCCTCTCTCCCTATTGTTCCGCACTCGCACTCGCTCTCTCCCTCTCTCTCTCTCTGTCTGTGTCTCGCTCACTCTATGTGTTTTTGGCCCTTTTGTTTTGGTTTATTGTTTTTGAAATGCACATAAAATGCGTTTTGCTTCTGTCCATTGTGTTCCAATGCAAGCGTTTGCGACTCATATATTATTGATGGCTCTGGATAACAGTGGAATGGATGGAGCGTATTGTGGATGCCCCACACAGCACACACAGAGGGCTCTATTTTGTGGACCAGCAAGCATACAATGTGAGCCGCACACGATTTACGAATTTAAAATCTACTTTTTGCATACGAAATTGGATCGATAAAGTTGTTTGCCCAATTGATTGTTGCTATACCCGTGGTACTAGTACAGCAGTAGTACTTACATCTATACATAGGTAAAATGGGTATTATATCATTGCAAGTATCTCAATATCTGGTTTTAAGAACCAGAATTTCAGAGACACTAGAACCCAAGTCAAGAAAAAGCTTTGCAAGCCAGAATTTGAAATAAATTAAATATATTTAACAGATTTTGTTATGTGCCACATACATATTTATGAATTTATGCAAAGACATTACACTGAGAGAAAAATGGCACAGTAAAAAGAAGCACACCCATACATACATATATAAATTAAGTATTCAATTTTCCAGTACAAACAGAATTTTGATTTTATTTAAATATAAATGTTGTAAAAAGTTTTTTTGTAAGAAATATATTTAATTTCAATATGTACACACATATGTATGTATATGAAATATGTATGTACATACATACATATATTTTCAATATGAAACATATATTTATATATATTTTATATGAACTATATTAAGCTCAAATTGTATCATATTAATGTCAATATGTAAGTGAAAACAACTCCATTCCAAAATGGTATAAATATTTAAACCTAAGTGAAAATATTCGGCGCCCAGGGCTTTCTTCTCTGAGTGTATTTAGGTCTCTACTAAAATTCATCAAGGTTTTCTGATTATTAAAGCCGGAATATAAAAATACATTTGCCACATGTTTTGTGGCACTTCTCCTATTTTGTGGAAACTTAAATTAAATTCCCACTAAATATGGTAAAGTGTAGGTATTTGTTTGTTGATTACCGTTTACTCGTACCCGTAATATGGCAAAGATCGAAGCTTTCGAGTAAAGTTCCCACTTGTTATCTCAATCATAAAGCTTTACCATAGAATAGGGTTTTGGTTCTATTTCGAAATAAGCCGAAAGCTTTCCACGAAAGCTCGCCAACTTGTTTATTTACTTGGCTTTGCTGCTATCAGTCCGACTCATTTCAAAAAGAGATTGCGGCCATGATACGTCGTACAGTGGTTCATCAGGGCATCAGGGCCAGGTCCAGCCTGGCTGGGGTCCAGGTTATCTCCAAGAACCTGGATCCGGCAGCTGCCAGCTCCTCGTACATGGAGCAGCTGGAGGGGGAGTGGAGTACAGCGAAGCCCTTCGAAGAGATCCCCGGTCCGACACGCTGGCAATTGTGGCGAGGCTTCCAGAAGGGCGGGGAGTTCCATCACCTGGATATGGCCAAGCTAATGGACCTTTATCGGTCGAGATTTGGGGACATGGTTAGGGTGCCGGGCCTGTTCGGCATGCCCACCACTGTGTTCACCTTTAAGGTGGAGAACTTCGAGCGGATCTACCGCACCGAGGGACAGTGGCCAGTGAGAGGGGGAGCCGACCCAGTGCTGCACTATCGAGCAAATCGCAAGGATGGATTCTTCAAGGACTGCGTTGGACTGTTCAGCAAGTAGGTAGGCCATTATGTTCGCCAGAGTTCCCAGTTGCTGATCTTCATTTCCAGTGGTCCGGAGTGGGGCCGTCTGCGCAGCGCGGCGAACCCTGTGCTGATGCAGCATCGGAATGCTAACCTCTACTTGGAGCCGATGCAGCGCGTCAACAACCAGTTCATAGATCGCATCAGGGCCACGCGGGACAAGGAGTCACTGGAGATGCCTGGAGACTTCCTCGATACCATAAACACACTGACCTTTGAGTCTGTGGCTGTGGTGGCCTTGGACCGGGAGCTCGGCCTTTTGCGGGACTCCGATCAAAAGCCAGAGGCCAAAGAGCTCTTCAGGAACATCAAGATCTTTCTGCAATCGTTCTTCGATCTGGGCATCAAGCCGTCGGTGTACAAGTACATCAGCACGCCCACGTACCGAAAATTCAGTCAGGCGTCGGATGCGATCTTTGACACCTGCTCGATGTACGTGAACGAGGCTGTGGCACGGATAGATGGCCAGTCGGCCGCGGAGCGGGAGGGCCGAAGGAGTATCTTGGAGCAGCTGCTGCAAATCAATCGGAAGTTCGCTGTAGTCATGGCCATGGACTTGCTCTTTGGCGCAGTGGACACAACCACCTCGGCCCTAGCTGGAGTCCTTCTGAGCCTGGCGAAGAATCCCAAGCAGCAGCAAATGCTGCGCGAGGAGATAGTGTCCATGCTGCCCCAGCCGGACCGCCAGTTCACGCTGGCCGAGATGAAATCGCTTCCATACCTGCGTGCCTGCATTAAGGAATCGATGCGCATGTTCCCCGTCACCTTCGGCAATATCCGATCTGCGGGAACAGATGTCGTGCTGGATGGCTATCGCATACCCCAGGGCACGAATCTCCTGATGCTCTCCAGTAATATGCTGCGCGACGAACGCTTCTATCCCCGACCCAACGAATTTCTGCCAGAGCGATGGGCACGCCCCCAGGACGACAACAGCGCCGAGTCGCCTCTCCGAAATAATTTGAATCCATTCGTCTACCTACCGTTTGGCTTTGGGCCCCGCATGTGTGTGGGCAAGCGCATAGTGGACCTCGAAATGGAGCTGACCGTGGCCAATCTGGTCCGAAACTTCCACATAGAGTTCAACTACCCCATTGAGAATGCCTTCAAGCGCTCCTTCCTAAACATGCCAAACATCCCACTGAGATTTAAATTCACCGATGTTAACTATTCATAAATAACACTAATGAGCAATGCATTTTCAAAAATGGCTGACATATTCGAATACTTTATTTCTAGTTCCTGAACTTTTCCCATCAAAGGTACATTTTTTCAAAAATGTGGCTAACGAAGGTCTTAGGGTCTGAGCATAGGAACGGGTTTTCTCTTACGTTGTATTACGTTTTATTTGTTTGACCTGTAAAACCTTTTTTTGAAAAGATCCAATAAAAGCACGTATTTAAAATAAGCTAGTCAGGTAGAAAATTGATTCATTAATCGAACAAAATTAAGTGAGCTGGGCTGAGGGTTCTATTTAGCTAGTAATATTCGACGGAATATCAAAAACGAGGAATATGTTTAAACTCGTCAGTATATTTACGGTATATTTTTAAAGTGAGACGGTATATTTTTCCGTATATTTCTGAGGGTGAGACCGTATATCTTATCGAAAGGTGCGCTGTCACACTGAAATAAAGTGATTCATAATAAACTCACAAAATTCCTTATTTTCAGTTGAGAACCAACTGAAAACCTTTTTACCTCATTTGAAATAGTAAATTCATCAAGCTGGGTAACGACATGTCCACCTCATCAATGGAAAGTAAGTTGTTCAGTTCGATGACGCCATACACCAGCAGACACCCAGACAAAGAATCTTTCTCACCCACACCCTCCCCCAACAGAACACCTCTTTAATCTAAAATTTGCGGTGAAGGAGCTGGAGCGCAACTCCAAGAAATGCGATAAGGAGGAGAAGAAGGAGAAGGCCAAAGCCAAGAAGGCCATCCAAAATGGCAATATGGATGTGGCCCGCATTCATGCAGAGAACGCCATACGCCAGAAGAACCAGGCCGTCAACTACTTGCGCATGAGTGCTCGCGTCGATGCCGTATCCAGTCGGGTGCAGTCCGCCCTGACTACACGGAAAGTCACTGGCTCCATGGCTGGCGTGGTCAAAGCCATGGATGCGGCCATGAAGGGGATGAATTTGGAGAAAATCTCATCGCTAATGGAAAAGTTTGAGTCACAATTCGAGGACTTGGACGTGCAGAGCTCAGTGATGGAGGGCACCATGTCTGATACGGTGACCACTTCGGTGCCCCAGGGCGATGTCGACAATCTGTTGCAGCAAGTGGCCGACGAGGCTGGCCTTGAACTGAACATGGAGCTGCCCAGCGGCGTGCAGAGCCAGACTATTGGCGCCTCTACCACCCAGGTCTCGCAGGAGCAGGATGAACTCACGCAGCGTCTGGCACGCCTAAGGCAGGCTGAATAAAACGAGGGAGACGCACTATAAGGAACTCCCTGCCAGCATTCGATGCCGTTGAATTTTTGTTTTAGCATTTAAGTACCGAAATATATGAATAAGAATTATGTATTAGCTTTGACTCTTAAATATACATATAAAAGAATCAATTAATGTCAGCATATTCCAGGATGTGGCTGCTGCTGCTTTGTGGAATTGAGATTGGGTTGCGGCTGTTTTGCACTTGCACGCTGCTTCCGAGGCTTCCGTGCGGGAGTAGCTGGTACTGTCCCTCCATCTGGGGCTTGTTTGTTCTTCGGCTTCGGCCCTCGTCGCTTTTGCTCTGTTTTCCCCTTGGGATGTGGCGCCACCATGGGCACTAACCGCCAGTTATCGCCATGTTTGTCCAGTCGACGCTTTAACATCTCCACATCGAAATTTCGCCGTCGCAATGTCTTTTTTATGGCATTAACTCTGAAAATAACTCAACCATTGATGCACCTCGAAAGTACCTTGCGATATTTTGATGCCCACCTCATAACACAGCGCTCATTGTCCGCCTGTATCTTCTGGCATTTATCAAAGAGCCTTTCCACTAACTGCTGGTATACGAGCGACTTTTTGTTAAGCAACATTTTTTATTTTGTTTGCGGTCCGAAGGCGCTAGGACCATCATCACTGAAAAAATAATTTTGTATGATAAATTAATAAGTTTTCTACAAAATGTGAACAACACAGGGATGAACGTAACGATATTTCAATCGACATGGACCGATACATATCATCCATATCGGATAAAGTGCAAGGTGTGTAATCTAGACAGGGAGGTAAGTAGAATTCGTCAATTAATAAATAGTTCTAGCGAAATCTTTTTAGAAAATAAATTCAGCATTTAACGTAGTAATAAATAACAAAAACTGCTTAAATGAATCAGGTTTAGAGCGACTGAAACCACCAGAACGAAAGCGCGACTGTCTGGCAACGCATTGGCATTGTAGATACGAAAAGAAAACAAATCGAATTTTTTAAATTACACTGTGCTGCCAGAGGAATCTTCCACTAAACAATAAACGTAAGGCATGTCTGCGAATCCAAATGCCTTGAACATGCCAACGTCTGCAGCACCGGTGCCGGCGGTCGCTGCTCAAAGCCCCACTACACGCAAAGCGATTGCAAACAACTTTCGCGAACTGACCAAAGACCCAAAAAAACTGGACGAAGCCGCCAATCAGCTGTACGAGTCGCTGCTGGAAGACGCTGTGACCGGCATTTTCATCGAGGTTCATCATTTGCGGAAAATCGGCAATCTGTCGGCCCTGGACGGAGTGGCCGAGGAGTCGGCGCACCGCATTTGCGATGTTCCAAATTTGGATATATTTGGCGTCTCCACGGCCAAGAAGGCCATTGATTGCACCTGCCCAAACTGTGATCGTCTGGTGGCGGCAGCACGTTTCGCCCCACATCTCGAGAAGTGCATGGGCATGGGCCGCATTTCGTCCCGCATTGCATCCCGCCGTCTGGCGACCAAGGAGGGCACCAGTGCCAGCTCGAATTCCTCCTATGTGCATTCCGGAGCCAATGCAGGCGGCACCGACGACGAGGACGATGTCGACTGGTCATCTGATAAACGCAAAAAGAAATCCACACAAAACTCGCGCAACAATGGCTCCAAAAAGAACAATGGCAAAACTTTTTAAACAGCTCCCGGCCAAGTGGTGCAATAATTGAGAAATGTATTAAATTTCCATGCATTGTACAAACAAACAAACAATTAGTTTCCATATTTGTCTATTGCGTAAACGCGAACATGGTCAATCACCAGCGTGGGCTGCGGCCAATTCTCTTTTATAAAGATCTCTTTAATAAGCTTGCCAGCTTGTGGAAAGGTATTTGAAAATTTGTCTTTTTTATGTTCCTTCATCAGAACCTCATCGTCGAAGTTCATAGCACCGCCAGCAGTAAGGCCCAGTACCAGATAACACTGTTTGTTGAACGGAACGGAACAGAAAGGTAAAGGTTTGTCAAGATTTACAAGAAGATAAAATATCAAAATTAAAGATCCACCCTCTCTTATCACCTCACCTCATCATTGTTGAACTTTGAGAGGATTGCCGTATTGGTTATTGACCCAAAGAACTCGCCATCTACCTTGAAAGCGATTTGATCACTCTTCCAAATTATGGTATAGTCATGAAAATCTTCAGAATAATGGCTGACATTCGTTTTAATAACCCAATAGTCCGTATGCTGTCTATCTGATTCGGTGTTCCAGATGAGAGCACTTCCGAACAGCGATCTACCATCAAAAGTATTATGATGTTTATCTTGGAGCAAATTGTTACCCCTAGCGTAGAGCCGTATTTGATCGGCGAAATTATCAGCAAAGTGATTCTTCTTCGACTGCAAAGCCAGATCTGCAAGGAAAAAGTGAGCGATGCGATTTGTGTTCCATGTCTCATCTGTCTCATCTGATCCACTTACATGGAAATAGCCAATTGCCTTTGGGCATTCGGGCCCTTATCTCCACTCTTCCGAATTTGAAGGAGAACTGGTTCGAGTGTATCTTGGCAGACCACGCAGGGGGAAGGTTGTGCCAAGCAAAGACTTCGATTGGGCCACACTCCTCCGTGCGCTTCTCGCTTAAGCTTGTACAGTTTTTCAGTTTAAAGTATGTGTTACGACGGTATTTGGCTATGGCTATCTTAATGTGCAGCTTGTTGTCGGATACATACGAATTTTTTGGATCGGACACAAAGGCCACATATTCCTGATTCTGTCCACCAGTGTAACGCATTTTAACCTCATGCAGCCAATTATTTTTGATGCTTTGACCATTATCAAAGTTGTCCTCGAAGAGTAGTTCCCCGCTCGTAAACTCTCTCGTATTCCCAGATTCTGTCACCGACTCTTCTCTGATTTCCTCCACTGGCTTACATTTCGAGAGCAGAGTCTCGACATCAATTTTTTTGTTGGATGACCCAGGGACATCCAAGTGGACCATTCCATCCTTATCGACAGTGTATACAGAGCTCATGCTGCTGATCACGTTGTTTGTTCTTTCCACCAGAGTCTGAACCCTCAGCCAGGCATTCTTGGCAATATTCTTGGGGAGCGACATCTTTGCTTGCCAGGGGCTCTGCGACCTGTACGAGTAGCTGTTGTTCACACATTCATCTGTCTGTACCTCAACTTGAAAAAGTAAAGACTGGACGCCTTCAAGCTGCCCTGGTAGCGATATGTACAGCTCATTATTATTTATTTTCACCACTGCGGCCGGCAAATCGAGTGCAGTCAAGGAACCCAGCAGCAGGCTGGTTAGCCAGAAGATCACACACCTACTCTTCATAATGGACAAAGAGAAACTGAGGCTTTGCACGACTTGTGATTGCACAGCGATCCAATCGTATCATTGCGCGAAGCGATAACCTCTAGGTTTCAATACGCATATGTGCATACCCCTGATGGCCAGTAAACAAACCTACTCGTACATACAGTATGGAAGAAAGAAGTTTTTACCATGCGTTGAAAAACGTCCTCCCCCCAGGCTGTTTTCTTAACAAGTACATACATGATTGAACAAAGACAATGATACGCAGGGAGAGTTGTTCTAATACGGCTGATCTAGCAGAGACTATTATTTTTATAAGCTAACATGACTCAACTAGCCCTGGATCCAAAAAAGGGGGGACTTTCCCATATATTGATAAGCTTAGACTTCTAGTCTATGATGTAAAAAATTGATAGTTTCATTGTTCATAATCGGTAATGGAATAAACTCTGAGGGATCTAATGACTAACTCGGAATCAAAGTTATGCAAAGATAGATTTCGAATACCGCCATTTATGTTGTTTCGGAAAGGTTTTTGGTCTGGAAAAATACGTGAGTCGGGGAAATTATACTCTCCTCCGACAGTCAATCCCAGCTGGATGTGGCACTGCAAGGAAAGAGGATTCATACGATATACTTGTTGTTCTATGTGCATACTTCAGACACAACCGCACCTTGCCCTCACTCAACTCGTTCAGGATGTCCGTGTCGGTGATTTCGGCGTAGGGACGTCCATCCACCTTGAAAATAATGATGTTTTTCTTCCAAATAGCCGTATAAGTGTGAAAGTCTTCGCCAAAGTGCTTGCCGACAGTGACATGCCGCATAGCCTCATGTCTGTTCATATCGACAATGGCTCCGCCGAAGAGGCTCTTGCCGCCAATCTCGTTCCCAGCAATGTCCTTGAGTTGCTTGTTGCCTCGGACAATGGCAATGCGAATGGATGCCGAGTTGATTTTGGATTTCAGCGAGAGTACTGTATGAAAATTTCAAATATTAAATACATGTTTATTTCGATGGTTATTCGCATGGCCATAAGTACCTGGGAACAGCCAGTCTCCAATTGGCAGCTTGGCTTCTATTTCGATTCGGCAATATGTGAAATCGGACATTGAATTAATGCTGGCCGAATTGAAGGGTGGCCAATATTTTTTTGACTGTATTTTATATCTACTGTAGCCGCAGTAAACTTTCTCTTTGGTCGACCAGGTGCAATTTTTCAAATAAAATGGATTGGCCCGGCTATACTTGGACGGGGTGACTCGCAGATGTAAGGCACTGTCTTTCACATATGAATTGATCCTGTTATGCACAAAGGCCACACTCTCGTAGTAGGGATTGGGAAGCCGTGAATGCTCCATGTGTTGCCAATTATTTCTCCAACTTTCGTTCTCAAATGTTTCACTGAAGATCATTCGTCCACCGCATTCACAAGCCTCTCCATTGAATACAGAATCTGTTGGGATGCAAAATCTCTGGGGATGCTTTAGTGCCTCGCAATCCGAGGGCCGTCTTGTGCCGATGTTGTATTTCCTGACCGGCTTCAGACCAGAGTCTCTTGACCCTCCTCTGGGTGTAATCTTGAACGACTCGCTAATTATCTCGCTTTGATACGTTTCAACAACGACCGAGACTCTAAGGGTATCATTTAGGTACTCCTTCACAGCCCAGGGGTGTCCTATATTTGGGTCGACTCTGTAATTAAAGGCTGGACCCTCATTTTCACAGTGTTCGGTGTAAAAAAACACCGAACAAATGTCTTGGTCGTCTATGAAATTTCATATTCATTACCGATTAACAAAAAAGATATGCAAACACAATCACAAACTCACCTGGCAGTGATACCCAGACCCATTCATCGTTTTTCGTATCATTTACCATCGGCTGAATCTGAAAAGCCCCCGAACCGAGCACAAGAACAGCTAACGAGAGCAACAAAAGTCCCGGGCTCATCATCTTCGATGCGAGGCACAACTAAACTGGGATTCATAATTTACTGAGAGGGGCTGTCAGTGCTTTATTCGTGATAAGATTCCGACACGAGCATCGTCTACACTTGTTTAAAAATATGAAAATGATAATCAGTTTGCGTAGACACGTACATAGTCGACCAATAAAGACGGCTGCTTCCAAGAAGGAAGCCAATGATCTTTCGCTTCAAAGAAATGCAGCTTGGCCTGCGGATGATAATTCATCCATGGCTTCTCGTAGGTTGCGGTGCGCAAATTGTCCACAAAGTCTCCGAATCCACCCACAGAAAGTCCCAGAGTGATGTAGAACTAAAATGATATATGCATGTACGTGCGTGTATAACTAAATATATGATCAAGATTAAAATACGTTACCATTCGATCGAATGGGGCCATGGGACCGCCCCTCTTCCATCTGGTGTTCAAGTCCAGCTCCGCAAAGCCACTCAACATCTCGCCATAGACCTGTCCGTCCACCGAGAAGCGCAGACGCTTGCTGCTCCAATCTAGGCTGTAGGTGTGGAAGTCGTCGCCAAAGTGTATATTTCTTCGCTGACTGACCCAGATATCCTCGCGCTGGAGGGCATCCGTGGAGAGGACTGGCCCGGCATACAATGAGCGACCATCAACAAGTTTGCCGTGGGGCATCCGAAGCTTGGAGTTTCCCCTGGCCATGGCCACCCGCAGCTGACCCGACTCGTATCCCGTCTGGCCGTACCATTCTGTCAGGGGTTCCAACAGCAGCAGGGGCACCAGCCAGTCCCCCTTTGGCACCTTGGCCCGAATTTCTATGCGTCCGTATTTAATGGCAAATGATTCCTTAGTGCTGACGCGGGGAGCCACAATCGGAGGCATGATGGCACTTGGACCGCTGCCGCTGGTGTGCAGCATACACTCCTTCTGGCGGTTTTGCGTGCCCGTGCAGCGCTCGGAGAGATCTAGCCGAGAGTTCGATATGGACAGGTCTGGGCGGTAGCTTGACCACAGAATGGGTTCGATAACAAGATTGCCATTTTGGACTCTGGCCCTTCCGTCGTACAGCACAAACTCGGCGTCTTTGGTGTCCAGGGGTATCCGGACTTCGTGCATCCAACGGGACTCGTTCAGTTGCTCGAAGGTCTCGTGGAACAGCAGCTGCCCCTTGCAAATGGGTGACGATGGAGCTGGTGATATTGTCGTTGAAGATGGTTCGCATGCTCCGGGCTCTGCTCTCTCAGATGATGACGGGGCGTTGGTGTCCTCTGTGTTCAGACTGTTGCTCTCTGTTGGCTCCTCCTGCTCGGGCGAAGAGCAACCCTTGGGTAGATTCGCTCCGGTCAATGTGCAGACATAAATGGGCTGCTCTAGGTCCTGGAATATCGCCCTTTCATGCTGCACACTCGTCCAAATGTACAAGACATCGTGGGCCCTTAATGGGACAGAAAGAAAATCATGCGACCAGCGATTATTCTTCGGTTCCACCAGCCGGGTGCTGTACTGGCCCTGAGTAAACGAAGTGAAATTCCGATTGCGATTCACATTGAAAGCCACCAGCCTCACGCCAGTCTCATCTTTGAAAAGAGAAAGAAACAAATGAGCAATCCTCTCACAAGATGTGTTGTGGTTTATTACCTGGAATTGACACCCGAAAGCCATTCGCCAACAGCTCCACCTTGGCCGTGGGCACCTTATAGCCTTCGCCGTGCCCAATCTTGGTCCAGAGCAGCAGCAATACGCCAATTGTTGCTAGTCCATGCATTCTCAGGCTTCTTCTCACACACTTTGTTCCTACCCAGCGTTGATCTGACTCAGCCTGAGCAAGCGGGGCGACGGTGGCGCGATGGCGGTGGCAGTGGCAGTGGCGGTGGCGGCTGCTGCCTTTCTTCCAGACCGGTTCTCGGGTATTGCGATTATTTGCCAAGACTCAGTTTGGTGTACTCAAATCTACATAGGCACATATCAGCTCCGGCTCTGAAGAGGTTCTCTGCGAACGAAACATTTTCTACAGATCTAGTGTTAGACGCCGAAATATAAGTTTTAACGGCACTCAGATTAGTGCACGAGAGCGGAGATGATCGAAATCTACATATGTAGCTGAAAGCTTTGCTCTGGCGATAACGAAAGCTTATTCGATCTGAGATAGAAAAGCAGTTTGTAAGCTTGAAATCGGAATAAGCTATTGCATCAAGATTTTCAATCAGTTGCATGTAGAATTCTAGGAATTGTACGCTAAACGGAATAATCTGAAATCTGAAAGCAATTAAAACTGCGTCATGCGCTGGAAAACTCTTCTCTGTTGCAGTCTGTGGCTTCTGTTGCTGAAAAGCAATGAAAATGTGGCTTTTAAGATACCCAGCATTGACTTTGAAATGCTACATGAACTCGGCTTTGAAGTGTCCATCCCAGGTAACGTCCAGGGACAAGGTCAAGTTGATAAACTTCATGGAGTACCGTGGAACACTGTTTTTCAGATGAGCCTGGCATGCAACGGGTCTTCTACATGCTCCAAATAGATGACAACTGTCCGGCTCTGATGGACTACATCACGGAGTCCAACAACGGGAGCTGGATCAGCAGGCAAAAGACAAGTCTGCAGAACAATGATAAGCTGCAAATTTCAGTTCTGGTGCAGTACAACGACGAGATCTACGAAAAAAGCGAGACTCGGGTGATTATAAACGCTCGATTGTTGACTACCCGCGACGGCCGTTCGCGGAGCATTACCTATCCCAACGGGGAGGGAGAATGCCATGCCTATTTGTCGCCGCAGAAGCAGGCCAAGCGCTGTAAGCCCGCCCAGAGCATCGTCAGCAGCAGCCGCCAGACCTGCCTGGGCGAGCTGCTCTTTGAGGACAACTTCAGTGAGGCGCAGTTGAATCGCAGCACGTGGAAACATGACATACGCCAGCGCATGTATCATGTGGAGGAGGAGCTGGTGGCCTTCGATGATGCTCCTCGAAACTCGTACGTGAAGGAGGGCTATCTGCATATTGTTCCCATTGTGGCGAGCGAGGTGGTCGAAGGCAGCTTCAAGCTGGGAGATCGCTGCACAGCCGTCGAAAGCCCCGAGCAGGAGTGCAACATTGCTCAGGGAAGCTTTTATAGCATCAAACCTCCAGTTTTCTCCGCCCAAATCCACACACGGGACTCGTTCAGCTTTAAATACGGGAAGATCGTGGTACGGGCAAAGCTGCCGAAAGGCGATTGGCTTTTTCCATGTAAGTTCCAACACGAGATAAATTGGCAAGCGGCTTCCATACTTAAAATCTGTGTACCTCCTTAGACGTGATGCTGCAGCCCGTGTCGACCTATGCAGAAACACATTATGCCAAACAACTGCGTAAGTGTTAACGATCGTAAAGGTGCATCCAACTTCTCAGCCGCCGGTTGTTCTTAGGTGTTGCCTACGCAAGGGGAAACTCTCACCTGCAAAGCAATCAACAGGAGGACATCTCCGGGAGTCATCTGTATGGTGGAATGGTTGTCTGGGATAACGGACGCGCTAGGCAGTACCTCAAGGATCGTTTGAGTAAGGCGCACTACGGGGATAGTTTCCACAACTACACAATGATATGGCAGCGGGATAAGATTACGTTAATGGTGGACGAAGAGATCTATGGAGAGCTCTACGATGGTTTGTCCTACTTCAATGAGAAGTGTTTCATCATTTTTGGCGTTACTGTCGGCGGATTTCTCAATTTCGACGATAGCGTACTGGCGAAAGACGTAAAACCATATCTCAACCGGGAACCGCGGGCAGCTCTTTCCTTTTGGCAACAGCGCGACACCTGGGCTCCCACATGGGGCAAGCACAGCTCCATGATTATAGATTATGTGCGTGTCTATGCAGAGTGAAACACTCATTTTATTTTCATTTTCACGAAAAATTTAATGTGGTAGTGGTAGGAAATGATTTGTAAATAAATTTGAACTCAGCGATATTTCCCCCCCATCTCTGGCGATATTTCCATCCCATCACTGGCAACTGTGCCTTCGATTATTTTCCAGCAGCTGTCATCGTTTTCGTGCATTTGCTGCCAGTTTTGCGGAGTGTGTTTTTTTCGAGGAGCAGATAAAATAACAGGAAAAAAGCAACTTTACAACGATCATTCCCATTTTCAAGCAAACGTAGTAAGCAACTAGAAGAACACAACGGCACACCATGCCTTCGGCTGCTACCACAATTACCAACAACAACAACAATAGCAAGGAGAAGCGCGCCTCGGTCGGCTCCATCGGTGGTGGCGGCGTGGGCGGAATCGGTGGCAGCGCGAACGGTAGCAGCTCGAGCACTACCAATGGGCAGCGCAGCAATAGCCCCAGCTTGGCCGAAAAGTCGACGGCACCGGCAGCGGATGGCAGCCAAACCGATTTGACCAACAACAATTCGAGCAATGGAAATGCTGCCAAAGCACTGAAGACAGCCGCATCTGCGACTGCCGTTGCTGCTACAACTGCTGCTGCTGCTGCCGCCGAGCCGTACAATCCCCTGAAGCAAATGTTGGTCACCATTGAGCACAAAATTCGGAACCTGGAGAAGCGCAAGGTCTGTATAAATGGAACTGCCTGTATTGCATAGTGTCCACCTGCCCAAAGAATGTGGAACAAAGGATTTACAATTTGTTCTTCGCATTGCCCACCATTTTTATTTTCGTTCTCTTGTGTTGCTTTGTTTCATTTCGCCTTTCCCCCCTCTCGTGGCTGCAGATTTTTCGCGACGCCATGTTTTATATCGCACAGAGTTGCCAGCCCTGGTGGCTCAATGTTCTGGCCGGCCCGGCATGTCCCATAAACATTCATAGATATTTGGAATTTTGCAGGCTTTTCAGAATATTGGAATATTAATTTTAGACGTATACAATTTTAGTTCTTGCATTGCATTTGTTCGTATTCTTTAATTCGCACATCCAACAGCTGAGAGTCTGCCGGCGGTCTGGCAACACCATAGCCGGTGGACAATCTACATTTTGTTTGCCTATTTCCCTTTTCTTTTGTTTATATTCCAAGCCATGAGTAATGCCAACTGATTCATTGCATTTTCTCATAAACAGACGAAACTGGAATCTTATCGCGCCATACAAACAGGCGGCAAGGAACTGAGCGCTGACCAGGCATCCGCTGTGGCCAAATACGATGCGGTCCTGGCCAATCTGGAGTTTGCCCGGGAGCTGGCCAAGCAAATGCAACAGCAATCCAAAGAGGCCGAAAAGGAGCAGAAGAAACAGGCACGCAAGGTAAGTCACGAGCATGCTCAGAAAATGAAATGATTTTTTGACAAATCTTGTTTGAATCTGTTTGAAGGACAACCAGGCCAAGGCACTGGCTGAGACAGCCAAGATTCGGGAGGTTTTGATCATTCAGAATGTACTCAACTGCTTCAATGATGAACAAGTTCGAAACGATTTCCTGTCGGGCGAGAACGGAGCTCAAAAGTTGGAGAGCAGCGAACTGGATGTGCTGGAGAAATTGTAAGTAGAGCCAAAGCAAGCGGTCTTGAAACTAATTCTGTTTTCAATCTTAGCTGCATTGAGACCCAAACCCGTCGTCCGGAAACTGCAGAGGACATAAGCTTCATAGCCACTGCTCAGAAGGCGGCCGAGATCTTTTCCCTGACGATCAATGCCAAGCCCAAGGCCTACGGTGAAATCACCTTCGACAAGGTGCGTGCGCTTTTCCAACAGATCCAGGACAGCGGCTATCTGGATAAGTACTATCAAGTGCCGGTAGAGAATGCGGTGGCCAACAGCACGGACAGCGGCACTGGAAGCGGTGAGGGTGAGGTCGGGGAGATATTGCTGAACGATGCCACCGGAGAGTTGGATACGGAGATTCCCTCCGAGCCGTCAGCACGCAACTCTCTTGAGGAGGGTCTTGATAAAGTTCATTTGGGTGGCAATCCTGAAATGGAACAGCAGCAGCTGCAACACGAACGCCCACATCTCATTCTGCTTGAGCCTCAGCACCTGCGCGCTCCAGTGGAGCAGCCGCAGCCGCCGCAAAACATGGTGGTGCAGCAGCCTCCCATCTCTCAACCAACGACCACGCCAGTGCATGTTGTGTATGCTTCGCCGCTACCTCCTCAGCAACAACAGCCACCACCGCCTCACCCACACAAGCTGCTGAGCAGCCCCGTGAATCTCCAGGCCTTGCAGACGGGAGCAGCTCCTCCTCCCCCTCAGCAGCAACAGCAGCAGCCACCTCCGCCCCATTTCGCACCCACTGTTCGTGCCGTGGAGCAGAATTACTTCAAGCAGCCGCAGCACCCCCAGGCAGCAGGATTGCAGGCTCCCACACCGCAGCAGCAACAGTTTATGCAACAACTGCGTCCTTTGGCGGAGGTTTTGGGCACAGGAACCTTCCACTTTCTGCAGGACAGCGAACTGGACAATCCTGAGGTCTTGGCTCCTCCGCCCCCATCCAATCAGGGATTGATCTTTGAGGCTCGCCCACACTATATTGAAGAGCCTCCACAGGCCATACAAACCCTGACCTTTACCAATCAATCGTTCCCCTCGCAGCCGCAACAACCGAAGCCCCAGCCGCAGGTCCCTCCACCGCAGCAGCAGCTCTTCTCGCCAGTTTTGATCCACGAGCAGCGACAGCAACAGCAGCAGCAGCCTATGTTAATCATGGCACGTCTACCGCCCCAGCAGCAGCCACAGCCTCAACCACAACCACAGCTGCCTCCACAGCAAGCTCCTCAAGGCATCGGCATGCAGCCAGGAGACGTGACCTCAGTTTTTCCCTATGATAGTGCTGTTGTGACCTACGAGCAACAAATCCAGCAGCAGCTGAAGGAAAAACAGCAGTTGGAAGAGCCCACTATAGTGATCAAATCGTCTGCCGGAGCTGGGGGCGATGTGGAGAGCAATGATTGGAATGCCCGTAATAACGACACCAATGCCGCCGCCACTGCTGCGCTTACGAATGTCTTAAAGGCCCAGTCCTCGTCGATAGCAGAGTCCACACCACCTGCACCACCCAACAAATGGAGCTCGGAAATGAATGCCATGAGCAGTGCCGCCTCGAACGGCAGCAGCAACAACAGCCATAAGCAGGAGTGGGCCACTCCACGCGACAATAGCAGCGGCAGCGGATATCCGGAGAACGAAGGCAACAACCATTGGAACAGTTCTCAGCAAGATGGACGACGCAATTCCGGCAACTATCAGCGCCGCGGTGCTGGAGGAGATGACAGGCGCGATCGGGATCGCGATCGTGACCGCGACCAGGGTGGACGAGGCGATGAGCGTCGTAATGGTGGCGAAAGAGGAAGCTATCGCGCTCGTCAGTACGGAAACTCGACAAACGGACGCAATCCCGGTGGCAACAGTGGTGTCTACTTCCGCAACAATGAGTCTGGAAACGGAGGCAACAACTACTACCAGAATGGCGGTGGAGTGTACAACAAGGAATCGCGCTATGACTCTTCAGGCGGAGGTGGAAGCTATCGCGGCCAGCGTGGTGGAAACCAGCAACGGAACGGGAACGGATCGTTTGGCGGTGGCAGACCCTTGGGCGATCGTGGTCGTGGTGGAGCAGGTGGCCAAGGTGCCGGTGGCGAGCGCGGTGGCTACATAAACCAACGCCAGACCCAGCCACAGCGCATGCCAATTGGATTGGAGAACAAAAACTGAGCAAACAATACGTATTACCAATAAACAACAAGGAAAACTTCATACAAATCATACAGAAACACACAGAAACACACAGATAGCGAACACAGATCATCCACATGCAAGCAAAGGCAACGTAGACGTACAATTACTATTACGACGTTAGACTCCAAGAAACAACAAGAAAATATGAAAATAAACAAACAAAATTCGTCTAGAGAAAATCACAATTAGGGGCAGGGAAAACGACAGCGGCAGCAGCATCAAATGAGAAATCCGATTCTTGCGCATTTTTGAAAACCATGTATAATTCTTTCCCTTAATTACGATTTATTTACGTATTAATAAAAGCAAAATAGTTGTTAGAAAAACGAAGAAAAATTCAGAAAGATTACAACTATATACAGGAAAGAAACGCTGTAAGGGTTTCGTTTCTAAAACTCCCAGACAGGACAGGACAGGACAGGAAGAACTTCTGCGCAACAAAAAGATGAGCAAAGTACAGAAACAACAACTCAGAAAGTCTCTCCCCTCCCCTTCTCCTCGAACAACCTTAACCATTTTGTTCGGCTGCGCTAAAACTGATCTAATAACGAACAGAGACCGAGTGCGGGGTGAAAAAAAGTATTTATACGTCTTAGCAATTAAATAACAATTCTGAAATATACAAATTAATTACTATTACCTATATATATAAACGAAGGATAATATATTTTTAGTTTTTGCTCTTACTGTCATGTTCTATCCCATTTCAACATTGTTTTTTTTTTTTTGTAGTTTTGCCAAAATCTTACACACAAACGAAACGAAAAAATGCAAAACCACTTATGAAAATAATAGTTGTAATTAACTCTATGCGAAAAAGAAGCATGCACACTAACAGTGCATTATAAATGAAATGAAATGATTTATGTATTTGCAAAATGGTACATACATTAAACAAAATTATGTATATGTAAGCGATTCATTGATTTACATTTTCGAGGAAGCTAGGGCAAGGCTGCACCTTGCCAGAGGGGGGTATGGTTAGCATCTCATAGCAGTTCTTCAAATATACAATTTGTATATAATAAACATAATAATAAAATGTATATTTCGGCTTGGCGGCTATATAGATGAGACGGCATATTTTCTGAGAACGTGAAAAAATTCTTGGTCCTTGATAAGGACTCCATCAAACCAAGGACATTTTTCCGAACACAAGAAGCCGTCGCGCGCCAGGATCGGCCTACAAATCACGGAGAAAATAAGAAAACAAATCTGACTTCTAACTTGTTGTTGTTGTCAGTTGTTGTACAAAAACAGCACACAAGTTGCGACTGCTCAAATTTCGGACCGAGCTACCAGGCGAACAGAAATCAGCAGAAAGAAACTGCTTCCAGCCCCAAAAGTATGCAACTAATATTTTAATTTGCTAAAGTAGCCTTCTGCTGATTTCTGTTCGCCTGGTGCCGAGTTTAGAAATTTCTTCGTGTTCGCATATTTAAGGTTCAGATTTTTGTTGTTGCTATATCTCGGGTTTTTATGGGCCGATCGGGGCGTGGCATGTCATTTCGTGACCGGGAGAGTCCTGCCAACCGATTGGCACCAGAAAAAAGGATATCCATTCCATCACGATTTTCGCAAAAAATCATGATGTAACCATCATCCAATTTGCCAAAAATCAGCCCCATTTTCGTAGTCGAGATTTTGATGCCGATCGACAGACTGGATCTTCGCGATCCTTGGACAGTTAGTCCTGTGCCGATCTGGCCCTATTTAGCTGAGATATAGCTTTCCGAAATGTTGGATTTGCACATCATGAAAATACTGGTTTTTTTCTGCAAGCTATATCTCTGCTAAACGGCAGCCCATCGGGGCGTGGCATGTCATTTCGTGACCGGGAGAGTCCTGCCAACCGATTGGCACCAGAAAAAAGGATATCCATTCCATCACGATTTTCGCAAAAAATCATGATGGTTACATCATTCAATTTGCCAAAAATCGGCCTCATTTTCGTAGTCCAGATTTTGATGCCGATCGACAGGCTGGATCCTCGCGATCCTGGGAGAGTTAGTCCTTTGTCGATCGGCCTATAAATAATCGAGATATAGCCAAAGAAAAATAGCCGAAAATGAGAAACTCAGAGCTGGGATACCAGGCGATATAGCTCAGATTTTTCCAGTTCGACCTCGGCGTGCCCCGCCTATTCATGAAAAGCAGGATATCCCCGATCGTTTGGTGTCAAGGACAATAAGGAAATTGCCTTTTTAACGTTAGTTTTCAGTAAAATGTCTATAACTCTGATTTTACCCATCGGATATGGGCGAGCCACGACTTCTCGTGATCGCGAGAGCGTTTTATCCCAGGCACCAAGGACGATGAGGATATACCTTGCTAATTTTATTCCTAATTATATTTTTAGTTAAATCGCAATAGCTATAGCTATAGCTCCGCTTCTTCTCGTCTGATCTGGGCGGTTCACGCCTTCTCGAGATCGGGGGAACATCCTCGATGGACTCAATATCAAGGATCAACGATATTTTCTCCAGTCATAAACAACAATACAGTTATGACTCTTTTTCTGTCTCTTTTTTCCTGCTGTCCACGGCTCCAGCATCGCAAAGAAACCAAAGCCCAGCCAATATTAGTGTAATTCCAATACCAGACAATGCGGTTAGTGGCTCTTGGTATACCAGCGTACCTAAAAGAAACTATAAACAAAGCATACTGTCATGTTCGTACCAAAGCATGGTGGGGGACCTACAGATAACACATAGTTGGACGCGGCAGTCAGCACAACGCACGTTAGGGTCTGCTCCGTCATTTGTAGCGCTTTAAGGAAACAGCGCAGGTTACAAACATTGCATATCACCATCAGGACCAATGGCAGCAGACGCAGCAAACCAAACTCTAGAGATAGACACAAAATATAATTACTTTTGAGGCAAATCTAAAATACTTACCCAGATACGACGAGTCAGAAAAGTTTCCTCCGGCTGAATCTTGAAAATACAGCAGCTTCTGTGCGCTCAGGTGGCTGGGCAACTTGCCAAAAAAGCTACCCCCGGCAGCACAAGCGCCAGCCACTAGGCTATAGCGGTAGTTTACCAAGGATTCCATTTAATTCAAATTTGTATAAATACAAAAGAAGAAAACACTCAAGCAGTGGAATCAGCTGGTTGCCGGAGCTGCCAACCTGTGTGCAGTAATATTAGTACAACAAATAAACGGCAGAGGGCGTTGTTTGTATGGCGCCAAGCCTTCCATTTGAATAAGCGCGAAACATTTTGTGAAGGAATTTATTTTCTCTTTCATTAGTTTATTTTACAAAACATTCTGCTAATGCCTTGACAATTAAATCGAACAAAGTCTCATTTGCTAATTGCGCGTTGTATTTCTGTATTTGTTTTTGTTTATCTTCTCCTGGAATTCTATATACTATATACATAAATAATACAAATGTTCTTTGTACCTCTCAACAAAACTCAATTCACATGCTTGCTGAACAAAGTTGCAATTGCAATAAAAGGGTACATTTAGAGAAGACAAAGCAAAATCCTAATGCTGGCTGGCTATAATTAATTCAATTCAAACGTGTACACATTTATTTATTGGGTTGGAAATTGCTTAAGTGGTTTTGCATTTCATTTCATTTCATTTCATTTCTTTTCGTTCGTTTCATTGCTTTGCTTTACTTGATCGTTTTAACTACAATTTTGCTATCGTATATTTAATTAAATATATTTCATACTTTTAGCATAATACTTAGCTTGTCTTGTTCTCACACACTCTCGCAATCTCAAGCAATCAAATCTAGTGAACAATCATCAATAAACAAGAGTTCCTAACCATTTTATATAAATAGTTTTGCTGTTCTTTTTTTGTTTGTTTTTGATTTTTGATTTTGATTCTCATTTTACATACAATATGTATAGACTAAGGTAAACTGCTCACATTTATTTTGTTGGATAATCTTTAAAATGTATTCTCTTTCTCTCTCTCTACATATATATATATGTAGATATGTATATATATATTTCAATGCTCATATATACAGAGAGCTGTGTGTGTATATATGTCAATTTGTATCTTATAATTTGTTGTGTTGTGTAGTGTAGTGTAGCATTCGTTATAGGAAAATGCAACGACTTTGAGCCGTTAATGGGGGAGCTCACAGAATTGAACTCTTTGTTGGATCAAGTTTTCTGGTTTATACAATTAACAATTCTCAACGAATTTTCTCACTAAATTTCTAAAAAAAAAAAAAAAGACACTTTTCTTTTGCTTGCTTACACAATCCCATGTAAAAAATGGTCTCTATATCGAATCTATCTATCTGAAAAATCTTTGCAATGGCATTCTTCACGATAATGCCTGCTTCTCTTGGTTAATACCCTGTTATTCAGCTGGAGCGTGGACCGTGGAGCGTGGACCGTGGACCGTGGTGATCGAGTCGAGTGCTGTTCCTACATGAGGACGCAGCACTTGCGGCTGGAACTGGTGCTATCGCTGACCACGTCGCCCGTGATGCCGCTAAACTTGTTCACCGAATTGCTCGTTGCCGGCGATGCGGCCTCAAAGTCCAGCAGGCTGCCGGGACCGCCACCACCCATGGGGCCCAGTCCCAGGGGTTGGGTGGAGATCGGTGCGGTTGCTCCTCCTGCTGACGCTGACCCTCCACCTCCTCCTCCTCCTCCTCCTCCTGCTACTGCTCCGCCTCCACCGTTGTTGTTGTTGTTGCTGGTGCTGTTGTTATTGTTGTTGTTGGCTCCTAAAACAGAACCATTAGATGTTGTTGCTGTTGCTGTTGCTACTGCCGCTACAATGGGATTCGATGCTGTGGATGTTGTCGTAGTCGTAGTGGAGTTTGATGAGAGTTCGAAATTGTTAAGGACATTCGCGGTGCGTGAGAGGGAGCGCTGCTTCTTCAAGTTCGACAAGGTCGCAGCACTGAAGCCATCCATGCTGCCAGCATGCTGCTGCTGCTGTTGATGTTGATGTTGCTGCAGCAGCATCGCGTGTTGTTGGAGCTGCTGCTGATGATGCGTGCTGTTCGTGTCTGTTTGTTGTGTGTGTGTGTGTATGTGTGTGTGGGTGGGTGTTGGGTGGTATTTGTGGGTGGATTTGTGTTGATGGTGATGATGATGATGATGATGCAGGCAGGCAGGCAGGCAGGCAGGCAGACGACACAGAACGGGCGACAACAACAAAAACAAAAAAAAAAGAATAAAACAGAAACAAGCAAATGTTATTTAACTTTTCTCTCGTTTTTTGTGTGCGATTTTCTGAGAGTTAAGGTTTTAATACCCTATAACCATGTGTGCGGGGTAGTTAGTTATAGGTGGATTATGTTACATGCAATCTTAGAGCGCGAGTCGTGCAAGTCGTGCAATCGGGGAGGGTCCTAAAGTTATCATAAGTCGGCATCTAATCTTAGCCCTTGATATCTAACAGATCGGATCATTAATATAGCCAGAATGAAGAAAACCACTTAGAGAGCTCTTTCTCATTCTCTCTATCTCTCGCCCACTCTTAATCGTGCAGTGTGCGCCCCCTGTCGGGGAGGCAGTGCAGCACGCCTGGGCTGGATGAAAGTGAAAGAGAGAGAGAGAGAGAGAAACATATCAACTACTTTAAAATTCGAATCATTCAATATCTGTAATCCTTTAATTCGGATCTACAGAGCCAATGAAGATCTACTTGGGATTTCCCTAAGCTTCAAGGATCCTATAGATCTAGGTCTAAATCGAAATCGAATCAAATTCGTTCAACATTAAGGGAACATTCAAAGGAAACAATTCGGTATTGATGGAAATATGGGGCTCAAAATAGACGATTTAAGCGACGAGAGCCCCCCACTTACAGGGTATATCCCCAGTCAACTACCTGGACATTCTGTTGGCTTTGCTCAGCCGCTTAGTCGGGGGGCGTACTACTTGTATTTTCTCATTCATTTCCTTTTTAGTAGAGTCGTTAAATACACATTAAACATTGACATTGACACGGGCGGAAGAAGCGCTTAAGCCGAGTATTTGCTGTGGCTTACAGGTGCAGTGGCGGCGGTTGATTGTGTGGATGGATGGATGGATGGATGGATGATGGGGAAGCTTGTGGGAAGCATGCGGGGCACGGGGCCAGTGATAGAGATGACACCACTCACCCACTAGAACGGTGACCTGGACATTGATCTTGCCGTTGGCAGCCTCTTTGGACGACTGAAACTGCACGGCCTCGGCACTGGCCGCCGTACCCTTGTCGGTGAGGATGACGGCCGCCGCTGAGGTGGCGCGTTGCATCTCGCCCACGGCACCGTCCTGGGCTCCTTTCAGGCGGAGCAGCTCGTCGTTTTCGCGGCCATCGGGTGGACGACGCGACTGGAAGGAATGTGTTGCGGTTGTTGTGGATGTGGATGAAGTGATCGAAGTGGCGTTGTCCAGCGCATCGGCGGACTTGGAGTGTGGCAGTAGCTGGCCAGTGCCGTGCCCATGGCCATGGCCATTCTGGCTGGCCGTCGAGGGGCGCTTCTCACCGTTGTGGTGGCTGCTGCCGCCGCCGCCGCTGCTGCTGCCATAGCCATAGCCATTGGCCAGTGGATCCAGGGAGGCAGGGGCCCCCTCTGTGGCGGTCGCCTCCTGGGCCTGCAGCCGTAGGCGAGTCTCCTCGACGGCATCCTTTTTGGTTGTCAGCGTTTTGTCCCGCAAACTGGTCCGGCGCACGGATTGCGCCCTGTTGAAAAATGGCAGAGATATACATAGATTAGTCCCTGGAGTGGTGTAAGGATGTGGATTCATGCCTGGTATTGTTGCTCTGGGAGCGGCGAACGCGCCTTCGTTGCGCCTCGGCCAGTCGTTTGCTCTCCTGCTCCGTTTTCAGCTGCTCAATGCGCTCTCTGATCTCGGGATCCTCACAGATGTCTACCGAAAGAACAATAGAAGTGAGAAGCATGTAAAGCATGTAAATATGCAGATGGGAGGATGGGAGGATGGATACCTGAGGGCGTCTCATCGTCTTTGTTGCGGACATTCAAATCGGCACCGCATTGGGCGAGCATCTCAAGGACCTCAAGCTAGAACAGAGAGAATCACGAATGGTCTATTATTATCCTGTTCGGCCGAGTCGCGCCCTTCTGCTGCCTTACATGACCCCAGCAGGCGGCCGCATGCACTGGCGTCCACAGATCCTTGTCCATGGCATCCACATTGACGTGCTGCTCCAGCAGGAACTCCACCACACGCACATAGCCATTGGCGGCGGCTATGTGCAGCTGCAAGAGTAAGCGCGTTAGTCAAAGAACGTTGGGGGCTGGAGCAGGGCTGGGTTTCAGGCACTCACTGGGGTGGCACACTGATAGTCCGGCTCCTCGAGATCCCCGCCAGTGCGGGCCAGCTCCATGAGATCCCGCAGCATGATGCGTTCCGTGGAGGAGCGCGTCTCGTCGATCAGCTCCTGGGTGACGCCGCGCTGGGCCATCTCGCCCTCGATAAAGTCCAGCGAGTTCTCGTCGTCGCACAGGTCGTAGGGCATGTTGCCGTCCGTGTTGACGGCCAGCAGGTTAGCACCGTGCCGGATGAGGATGCGCACCAGCTCGAGATGGCCGCAGGTGGCAGCCGCATGCAGCGGCGTCCATTTATCACTGTCCTGGGCATCCACATCCGCCCCGTACTCGAGCAGCAGCTGCAGCATCTGCACGTTGTTGTCGATGCACGCCTGGTGCATGGCCGTCAGTCCGTCCTCGTTGGCCGCATCCGGCGTGATGCCGTGCTGCAGCAGGGCCGCCACCTCTGGCATATCGTTGCGCGAGGCCGCCTCCAGCAGCACCACGCTGTTCTCGAAGGATATGTGCCGCCTGCCGCTCACCGTCCCCGACCCGTTGGCATGCCGAAAATGATGCGTTGTGTCCCCATTGCCGTTCATCAGACCCGTGTGCCCGTGGCTGGCGCCGCTCGCTGCCACGGCAGCGCTTCCTGTATTGCCCTTGGCTCGCTGCAGCTTGGCCCACTCCTTGTCCTTCTGCCGCGACAGCTTCAGCTGCTGGGCCCGCCGTCTAATTGGAAGAGAGCAAAGGATTAGCAGAGATATCAAACAGATACGTGGTGTGGCACTCACAGTCTGGCCAGCTGCAGGCGCTCGTGGGTGGGCAGACTCTCCACCGTCTGCATCTCGGCCACCAGATCGGCGTGCTCCATCTTGAGCTGCTTCGCGTAGCTGGCATCCTCCTGGCTCTTGCGCTGGATCAGAATACCCTTAATCATTTTGTCAGAGTCAGACGACACGGCCACCGTGCTCTCCCTGCGGTTATATGATATGTGTGTTCTTCTCAGTTTCTCACTTTCTCGGTTCTAATCAAACAAATTTAAACCATTTGTTGGGAGCAATTTATGTGGCTGTTGCTGTTGCTGTTGCTGTTGCTATTGCTCTGTCGTGTTTGTCTATGAAAATTGTAATTTGCATCTTTGAATTTGATTGCAAGTGCGGCTGCAACTGCGACTGCGACTGCGGGTGCGGGTGCGGGTGCGGAGGTCTATTGTGGTTGTGCCTCTCTGCTGCAGCTCCTATCACCTGCTACTCCTTGACAACACCCGAGGCTGCACTCATGGCAACGAGACCACGTTTATCCTTCGTCCTGCCGCCTCCCCTATCCGCTGTCCACCCTGTCCGCTCGCTCCCTCTCGCTCTGTTTACTTATGATTTGGTTGGTCCTTCGTGCTTCCGTGCTTCCGTGCTTCCGTGCTTCCGGGCTCCTGTTGATGTTTGTCCAAGCTCTCTCATTCGCTTTAACTGCAGATTTCTGTTGTGCTTCCCTGCCAAAGAAAAACAGACGAAAATTCAAATATAATATATATATATATAATATTCCATAAAATTGCATAGTAAATGCAGCGGCAGCGCCAGCAGCAGCGGCAGCTGTAAAAGCGCAAGTCTTAAATCTAGTTCGTGGATAAAAACATTAACTAAGATAAATGATCCCATTCCCTGGTTTATGGCTTACGGGTGTACGGTTGTACGGTTGTACGGGTGTACGGGTGTGCGGGTGTACGGCTGTACGGGTGTGGGTGCCGAGCGGTCAAGGCAATTGCGTTAATGGATCCCCATATCATCGCTGAAGCCAACCACTCGATTCAGTCCCCCTTTTCGTCGTCGCCTTATCCTCCATATATATTAATACCCTGCATTCGAAGAGTATTCAAGGGGTATATCGAACAGAGGGCTGCGCTTGCCGCCCCATAAAGTACATCGGACAAGGGATCAGTACCCGAGCCACGTGTGCCTCTACACAACACCATTTTGAAGAGAATATCAGACGGACAAGGGCAGGACATGCAGATAATCGGGGGATTAGTGGAGTTTAAGGAAGTTCCAGGTTGGACTCGCTTTAAAAGGAAGAAAAGCTCGTTAAAATTCTGTTTGCGATGATCAATCATTTTCGATATGAACTCAAAGAGTATCCCCAACAATGTTACATACGTAAGGAGCCCCCTCCTCCGCTCCTCCCCCCTCCCCCGGTGAATGCGCACTTTCTCAACATTTGTCCGTCGTTTTGGGTGCGTTGAAGTGTAAGAATAATGCTGATGACGCATTGTGTCCCTAGCATTCCCTTACCCTTCCCCTTCCCCTTCGACGCCTTCTTTACTCTCCTCCTTGCCGTTGCCAGGGCTGAGACCTGCCTGCCAGGGCTCTGCCTGAAATTGCATGCCAAGAGGCCATCAGACCATCCGACAGACCATCCGACCATCAGCCATCACCCATCATCGAGTTAAGTTTATTTAACTCGAAGCACAGCCCAAGAAGCCACAAGTCCAATCTCATGTGCAGCCAACTTGATCCTGCCAATGCGGAAGGGGAAGGAGGAAGGGAAAGGCTTACAAAGAGAATTCTAGAGTGAAGGAAAGTGAACAAGAAATGCCTTTCCTTTCCGCCCGAACTTGCACTAAGTCGCTAATTTACTATTCCCTCTATACATGCCCCCGCTCCACCCCAGCTCCGCCCCCGCTCCACCTCCACTCCACTCCTCGAGGGGGCGAAAACATTTAGGAGCAAGGAGAGAAATGCGAAAAGTCCTGGGGATTACCTTGAATGATTTATTATACGAGTAAAGTTCATGCCAAAAGGGAGGGTCCCAGAGAGGGAGAGCGGGGGCGCAGGGGCGCGGGGGGTGGATGCGATTAAGGTGCAACAAATGTTTATTTTATTTCATTTTCATTTCATTTATTTCCACATACATATCCATGCAGGATTCACTGCGTCCTTCCTCCGAGTATACCTTCCCAGGTCGCAGTGGGACTACGAAATGTAGTCCCCCACCCCGCCCTTCCCCTGCAACCCACGAACCAACTCTAGTCTACGGCTAGAAAATTGAGAACATCAATCGGCCACCTATCCTCATCGCAAGATTATGCTCAGCGGTTTCCTTCTCTCTTTTCTTCGGCGCTTGGGTCTCCGGTCTTCCTGAGAGACTTTCGCCCAGAGAGAGGACGAAAAGCTAGCAGCGATCATGGTCATTCATGTAGAATTCACCCCCCATCGAACAACATTTTGAGATCTCCACCAAATAGAATCCAGAAATGGAATTCTGGAATACAAATATGTTTAAATGATAGCCGGAAAAGCGTGAAACCAGAGCCACAGTCCATACCCAATAAATCTGGAAATCAATGCAGTTAATAGTCCTTTTGTCCCAGGGTTGCAGTGGGAAGGGCCCTCACGGCAAGGGAAAGCGGGAAAGCCGAGGTTCTACATTCACCCGGCACCCCGTACGGTGTTGCTATCTCGCTCCCCTCCGCCAGATGTTGCACACTGCACGAGGAAGAGTGTGTTTGTGAGAGAGAGACAGCCACTGCCTGGTATCATTTGTTCTTTCTGGCTATATTAATGATCCAATGATGCAACAACCCAGTGGATATGGCCAGAGCTGTGCCACAGGAGTCTCTTATAGTCCCTGCAACCAAGGCGCTCGACTTGGCTTTTGACACCGATCGAGATGATATGCATACAGGTACCCTATGGGGTTACCACTCCACCACTATTCGTAGATACCCCTACATTCCCCTTTGCGTATGGCGTACCATTCTCGAACCTAATTAAATTCTACTGGAAATGCATGCCAAATCACGTTTCTGTAGTTAAGAGCTGCAACATTTACAAAATCCTGTAGTGTTTATTTACTCAAAGTGCTGTTTGCTTAAATTTGTTCATTTGCCTGATTTCTTCGAGGCGAAATAACTCACAAATAATTCCCAAATACATCTGTACATACATGTGCATGTGTGTGCAACAAATCACACGCCTGAGTGTGGCTTTTACAGGGATTTGCGACTGAATCAATCAATTATTTACCTGGTGCTGCCAATAGGCCCCGAAATACTCGTGGGAGTTGGACGAATATGAATAGAAATTTTCTCAGCATCAGCCTCATTTCCCCCGAAAGACAAAGAGCAAAAAACACGATTATTCTCGAATCAAACAATCAATCATTCGGCTGTTCGTGGCTCTCCCAACGGAAGAGGAGAAGTATGTATGTTATGTTTTACGTCTCTTTTGTCTCTTGGCTTGGCTTGGCTTTCATCTGCTGCACGATAGTCTGGCAATCAATTCTCGATTCCCTGGGAAATTGCATTTACCAATTACTCTCATCTTTCGGCCCTGAAATATGGTATTGCAGGCCGTAATACAACATATAGTCATTAAACGAACAATTTAAATCGAGTATCGATTGTGGCCTGGCTAACAGCACACTTTCTGCCATCCGGTTACTGCATAACGGATTCAGGACGCATGCACTGCATGTCCTGGTTTCCTTGACGATGCAGCAGCAGCTGCAGCAGCAGCAGCAGCAGCAGCAGTCAAGTGGATCGAAATGGCAGCGCAGCCATTAAGGAAATGTTCATTTATGAGTTTTGCCAGAGATGGAAATACAAAGGATTTCCTTCCTTCCTGCATGTGCTACGTCCTGTTTGTGTGACCCAAAAATTGTCGATAATAACAGCTTCAGAAATGGCAAATCAAGAAGGCAACAGCAGTCTTTCGACAATGCGAACACCCTCAATCGGGGCTGGCAAAAACTATGGCTGGTAATGTGCTTGCAGAAAGTGGAAGAGGCACGAGAACGCCCTTAGATGGTGGCTGGTGGATAGAGCTGCAGACAAATTGTGGCTCGAGCTGGCAAACATTGCCTGATCCGAAGGTCTTTCGTCTTTCAGGAGGCTCTCGAAAGCCGTACATACTCGTGCATAAGTGCATTCATAGATGACGCATGCAACTCCAAAGGTACACGGGAGTAAAAGTAAAAGCAGAGAGTGAGAGAGTACGAGCACGGGCACGAGTAGGAGTAGGAGAACGAGTACGAGCACAAGCAGTAGCGAGAGAGTAAGTACGAGCACAAGCAGCAGCGAGAGAGTAAGAACGAGCACGAGCAGTAGCGAGAGAGTCGGGGTGTCGGCGCAACGAGCTACAGATTGCATGTGGCGGGTGGTGTTCTGTCGTAACGATCTCCAGCCAATGGGTAGATATCAGATACCACATTGGAAAGACCTTTGGAGGCGCAGGAGGCCCTACGAATGCCACAAATGGAAGGGTCACGTACCTCTACATGAAAATATACCCTTTGTACACCGAATGCCCTTCATAGCAGCCACAATGCCTCGACTTCCTCGACTTCCTTTCACGCTGACACTCGTGCGCGTACACCAGGGCGTATGCGTGTTATCTCCTGGGGTCAGTCAAGGGCCCCTACCCCCCTCCTAACCTTCCGATTGTGTGCGTGCGTGCCCCAGGCTTTGGGCTATTCATTTTGCACGCCTCGCGTTAAGCTCGATATTTATGCAACTATTTAATAAATACAAAAAAGAAAAACGACGAGAGGGAGAGGGAGAGGCAGGGGCTGGGCAGGGGCAGAGGCAGAGGCACGGGCAGGGGCAGAGAGAAAACAACGCAAACAACTAATAATTTACAGCCCCAAAGACGGCGGGCGGCATTAACTGATAGCAGATAAGATAGCGAAAGCTCAGCAGAAAAGCGCCAGCGCCACAAAACGAAAGACAAAGCCCACTACACGACATTCTGCCGCTCACCCGAACATCAAGGCAAGTGACGACGACCTCAAGAGAGCTCAAGTGTGCCGGAGGGAGCCCCATTGTATTACAGGGTACGACGGAGCCTAGGGAATGGCTGGCTGGGTGGAGAGGCCGCAAATGAATGGCCCTCGACGGGCGCCATGTGCAACACGAGTCCGACGGCCAGCCACAACAGCAGCAGCAGCAGCAGCAGCAGCAGCAGCAGCCACGATACCTTCGAGGCATCTATGTTGCATGCAGGGGTCAGGGGTTGGGGGTCGGGGGTCGGGGGTCGGGGGTACTGTCAGGGGATCCTCCAACGGCCATCACTTCTAATGAGCACCAAAGCACCAGGCAACAGCCCTAGAGAACCATATGGCTTTGCTTCGCCTGATTGCCACACAGTGCCACCTGGCTACGGGGGAAGCAACCAGCCAGGCCATTGGGATGCCCTCTGGAGAGCTGGCTGAGGCCTTGGCCCTTTCTCCATTTGGAATAGAGCGAATATTGACACGAAATCACGATTGCAATCAACCGGACACGCATACGATGTTTATTTAATTGAAATTTAAACATTTTCTGTCACAGGTCCGGGCTGTTGAGAGTTTGAATGTTAATTAATAAACACGATAATAATATTTGATTAAGTAGCGCATTCTGCGGATTTTATGCACTCAATTCAAGGGCGAAAAAAAGGGAATTCCCTTTGAATTGGCCCATCAATATTTATATCCAATTAAAAACTACATTTC